GCTAGTGTTAGCTATAGTTCTAAAGGTCTGTGCACCTGAGTTGTCTCCTGTGTTGACACGCTTGTTCCGCCTCATTCAGGACTGGAATAGTGCCTAAATCTTGGAAGCTGACCAATGTGCAGCCTGTGCCTAAAAAGGTAGTCGTACCGACCCTGCCAACTATAGGCCAATTTCAATTATGAGCAAAATGATCTCCTCAGTGATCGCCAGTACGGGTTTCGCCGAAATCGATCAACTGGGGACCTTCTAGCGTATGCCACTCACATATCGGGCGAAGCCCTCGAGAACAGTGGTGAAGCACTTGCTGTTTCCCTCGATGTTTTGAGGGCTTTTGACAGGGCTTGGCACGCTAGTGTATTGGGCAAGCTTTCAGCGTACGGCTTATCCCCTGGCCTAATTGTCTGGGTGAATGACTTTCTGAGTGAACGGTCTCTCCGGGTCGTCGTTGATGGCTGCTCATCCGATACTGTGGCGACTAACGCCGGTGTTCCTCAGGGGTCCGTTCTCTCCTCAACTCTCTTCCTGCTGCATATAAATGACCTGCTCATTCCCGGTGTCTATGGGTATGCAGACGACAGCACAGTTGTGGAGAGATACCCACCAAGCGCCCGGGCCAGTCGGGATCAAATCTAGTCAGAAAGAGAGGCTATCGTTGAGCGTGTGAGTCTCACACTACAGGCAGTCTCCGAATGGGGCGATGCCAATCTCGTGAGATTTAACGCCTCCAAAACACAAGCGTGTATTCTTACCGCTAAAAGGAGCCCGCTCACCTTGGCTCCTACTTTCCGGAATGTATCCTTGGAGTACACTGTCTTCAGTTGTTGGGGATTGAATTTTCTCCGAACCTAAACTATGGGCGGTCCATTGAGTCCAGAGCCAAAGCAGCCGCAAGGAAACTTGGTGTCCTTGCAAGGGTGCGGTGGTACTTCACGCCGGGCCAGCTTCTTACCTTATATACAGCGCAACTCCGGTCGTGCATGGAGTACTGCTGTCACATATGGGCTGGTGCTGCAAAATGCCACCTGGCAGCATTGGACTCAGTGGAGAGACGTGCTAAGAGGCTCATTGGTGACCTTGATTTGGTTGAAAGCAATCTTGTCAGCCTCGAGCACAGGCGCAGAGTAGCCAGTCTCTCGGTATTCTATAGGATGCATTTCGGTGAGTGTGCGCAGGAATTACACGCTTTAATTCCTCCCTCTCCTTTCCACCATCGGACAACCAGACGGTCGGTGGGTCTTCATCCCTTTGTTGTCGATATTCCACGCATTAGAACCAAACGGTTTGCTTCGTCTTTTATAATGCGTACAGCAAAGGAGTGGAATAATTTGCCGGCGTCTATCTTTCCGTCCAAATACAATCTGGGCGTCTTCAAGGCAAGAGTGAATAGGCTTTTGTTACGATAAGACAGTGCGATTTACCATCTAAGGCTACATCAGCACTTACCACCAGGTGGGATTGTGGTCAAGCACTGGCTTATAATAAGTAAATAAAGATTCTCTGTGGTATCTCTGACTATTACTCTACGATCAGCGAGGTGTTGAATTAAAAGTCGTGGGTAGCAAAGTTCCCCTTCAACCAATCCAGAGCCTCTAAAACTGGGCACGACACATCAGGGTCCTGGCTACTCCAGATCTCGCAGATCATCTTCCTCTGTATTGTCACGAGGATGTCGTCAGCTACTTCCTTCGTTATGTGACCTGAAAGCGCACATGTTAAGGCCACACCCAAAACTGCTTTAGCAGTGGAAGCGTAGCTGGCCCTTGCAGCCTTTCGTTGCTGTTCGAGTCGCACTTTTTTGTGCTCGCATCTCGGCGAGGTGAATTCTTCCAGCATCCTTTTGGCTCCTCTTTCTTTCTTACCAGGACGCTTGGCTACTCGCTGCTTCCTGGCGGATATAATAGAGCTGGCCCCTGCGGCCATGCCTTCCACTTAGGCTGGATTTTTATCCTTCCAAGTTCTCAGCGCGGCTACTGGTTCCAGCCCCGAGCACCGCAATCGCAGTAGCTTGCCCAGCCTCCTTGTTGTTGGTCTTAGAAGCAGCCAGCGCGGCTCTTTTTCTACGGCCTTTTTCAAGCTGCGTCTTATTATTTTTCTTGGCCTTTACACTACTGCCTGCTGGGATAGACACACCTGATGGTCCGTCATGTCGGCAAGTCACCTTTTTGGGTGCCTTGCCCTTCCCCTTACGGCTCACCACTTGCCAGCCAGCAGAGAAAAGGTCGTCCGTTCTCTGGGGCTCCGCATGAGTTTTACTACTCGCGATCCCTTGCTCTTTACTCACGTCCAGCTCCTTAGGTTTGGAACTGGTTTTGGGAACATCCAGCTCGGAAATTGCCCCCCCCCCCCCCCCGCCCCGGTGGGTCACTTACGCTGAATGGTGTAGTCCGTGTAACCGTCGGCTTAATGGCGATTCTTCCTTGTTTGTTGGTGTCTCTGGTATGCACCTCTGACACCTCTCCTTCTTTCTTGATGGGCCTTATATTGTCCATAATTTATTTATGTTTAAAATTTTCATCCCTCGGCTTCCCACCCTCCATGGAGCCCGCACATTTGGGAACGTTCTACTTTAAAACAAAGAGTTTCAAGCGTTAGGATTGCCGGGGGAATATAGAGACGTGAAGTTGGCTCACAGTGCGACAGCGGGAGCTCGATCCAGCTGGCAGATAGGGCTGAAAAGGCCCATCCCCACTGCCCGAATTGACTGTCACTTGCTCCATCAGCATGCCCTTTATCACCACCTAGCCCTTTTCAGGGAACTAGGCAGCACCCACATACTCACCTGCGACCCTCTGACGGAGCGCTTGGCCATTTCCCTATTTGGGGCTAGCAGATAGGGCTACCGTTTAGCTTGAAACCCGGACCAAAGAGGGCGTGTTGCCTCCCGCCACTATATACCCCAGGGATGATTGGCTCAACCCTCCACATTCCTTCATCCTCGCTTACGGCGCTCGACTGCGCAGGTCCTAGCGCCGGTGGAACCACCTTTCCTATTTTTTCCAGGCTTGGGACCAGCTGCACCAGAAAGCACAGGCAGATTTAATAGGCTTTAAGTCATTTGTTTCCAATATCCGAGGTACAAGCATGTTTGTTATTACTCTTAGCTCAATGTCAAAGACTTAATAGTCTGTGGTCAAACAGTCACAGTGAGTAGAGATTATTGCCAAAAAAAAATTAAAATGTTTCCATAAAGTTTTAAAATGTTGCCAAAAACAGGTGTAAATTATATGTGATTTCAAATGTTTCTTTTTTAGTAGTGTGTGTGTACGTCAAGGGAAAAAGTGTTTATTTTATATTTTGTATATTAGATATCTTTGTTTTAACACCTTAAAACAGGGGTGTTAATGTTTGTAGTGGTTATCTGTGTATATTTGTATCTGTGTGTACGTCTGTGGCATCATAGCTCTTGAACGGATGATCTGATTTTGATTAAGTTTTATTGTTTGTAAGGTGCCTTAACCGCGAGTGTTCCTTAGCTTTGCTTAAAAAAATCTGTTCAGCCTTTTAAAGATCATCAGATCTTTTTCTTTCAGGGGTTTTGAATTTTTTGAATTTTAGTTACGTATATCAATGTGCTGTTGAAAATGAAATACAGTTTGCTTAAACACATTCACTGTCCTGTTTCCAGACACAATAGTAAGACAATAGCAATGTACCATAATGAATGGGTTAATATTCATACCTAAAAATTTATTGAATTACGATTAAATTTTTATATAGGCAACTATTAGTTTTCTTTAAACCATTTCAATAAAACCATTTTTACGTATTTTAATAATTTTAATTTCTGGAATTTCGGGTGCTTTGCTGTATGATCATGGGTCATACTGAGGTGTTTGACATTCTGATACCATATTTAACCCTTCAGCTTTATTTATTTATATCTTCAGTTTTGAATTATAAATTTTTGGTCTAATCTGTCTGAACTAGGAAGTATGAACTTACAGTGTCTTGAAGTCTTGCTGTGGTATACTTGGGTTTGGAGTTAATTATAACAATTGTACTATCCCAAACAGATGGCAACACCCAACCTGTGTGTCAGTTTATATTTTTGCTTTATGCATTAGGTTATTACAGACATCAATTTTAATTAGTTTTGTTTTGTGAGCAGTGGTTAATTCTTAATAACTTTTTATACTTTTGAAAACTTCTCGATCAAAAAATCCTAATTTCAATAGATAAGATGACTGGGTGCTACCATCTAGTTGAGATCCTATAATCCATACAGTTATATACCAACTCAAATATACAACAGATACTATAAGTTCATGCTGTGTAGATCAGAAGAAAAATAATTAAATTCTCGAGGTAGCCGTGGTTAACTATGCCATTGGGACGTCGAACACCTCCCCCCCCGCCAAACTGTTTATCTTCATCAGTTTTTAAACAATTATTACTAGGGTAATTATTTACACTTTGTAATGATACTTGATACTGGCAACAGTACAACAGTACGAGTACATTACCCAAGAAAAAAAATACGAACAATGTTTTTCATATGATTTGTGCTGAATTCAATCAAATGAGGTAAAATAGTTTATTTGATTTATAATAATTGCTTAAAATCTTGACTTTAAACATGACTTACCAGAGCAATATGATTGGTAATTTCGCCACAGAGATTATCTCCGAAATCAAATGGAGCGTAGACTTGTAACAACTGATTGTGCATGTTACAATCCTAAGGAACAAAAAATAACTAGTAAAATTACATTGAGATAATTTTGTTTTTATTCTTTAGTATTTCAGCCCACACTGTCCCAAAATCGTACAAAAATTAAATACAGACAAATAAAATATAGATTTTTACATAATCCGTAATGAAATTATTTTTTATTTATTAGTGGTTCTGAAAATACCGCTGTCCTGGGAGGAACCAGCAGCCCAGCTGGCAGCTGAATAATATTTTTGACAAAATTTTACTACTATTTAAAAGATTTATAATAGAACCAGCATGGATGGCAGCGATCACCTTTTTCATGTTTAATTTTATTTATTTACAGGAATTTAAAGAATTGGGAAAACCTAAAAAACCCATGTCTTCATACTTCCTTTATGCCCAAACAAAAAAAGATATCTTAAAAGATATAAGTATGAAAGAGTACCAGGAAAAGGTTAAAGCAGGCTGGTTAAAATTGCCTGAAAGTGAAAGGACAAAATACGAAAAACAGGCTCAAGCATTAATGGACAAATATAAGTAAGTAATGTATAACCATATACTTTAGGCGTTTCTTTAACATTAATTGAAAATCTTAATTATTCAAATAATGTTTTATGATATTAAGCACTTGGATTCCCTTTGCACTTCAAATGGAATGTAACAACTGCCCCAAACCCAAATTATTACTTCATGTGCATGAGGTCACCATGGTGTTAACTTACGAAGGAGGCTGCGGCAACCGTTAGATGGGGGTATATCATCCCAATACGCTGAACTACAGCAGAAGCAGCAGTCCAGTGCCAGAGCATCACCTCTGCACTCACAAACTTACCTACCCAGCGTGGTAAGGGGCAATAATTCTTATAAGATAAGGAAGACACTTAGTGTATTGTCATCAATTCCTTTCCAGATGTTGATAAAAAGGCTGATAAAGAATTAAGAAAGTGAGAATTATTGTTAATCAACCTGACAACATTAAGTTTGTTTCCAGTCAGTAGATTTTTATTGGGAGAATCATGCCCACTTTCCATACATTTAAAAACCTGATAGTGAAATTATAAAGTATAGTAGAAAAACTACATGTAAGCTTAGAAAATAATGTCATATAGATTTTTACGATTTAAACGATACGAATAAAAAAAATACTAATGTCACTTTTTAGGTTAGGATTTGCCGTAACCAAATAGGTAATAAAGAAATAAATGTGCTGTAACTTATTATTAACGCTCGAAGTTAAGATAGCAATACTTATCTAGTTATGGTCTAAAACGTCTTTTTTATTTTGTGAATTTCTTGAAACCAACTGCCCCTAAGTCACCACTTACTCTCGATGATTGTCACCATAAATTGAGTGTCTAGCTCTATTTGCTATTTCTTCAGCACACATAACTACTTACTAACTACATTTAGTTCATCTTGTATTGTCAAAATGATCACTTATCAACCAAACACATTTCATTGGCCTATGGTACATACTTACATATATACCTGATGAACAAAATGGGATAAACAAATAAAACACTTTGTTAAAGTGGCATGGTTTATTAATTATCATCATTTTCACTTAAATCTCTCACCACTACGTCATCAAGAAATTCTGCTGGAGCAGAATTATTTTCTTGATACCATATAGGGTTGTAAAAAGAAGTAACACAAACAAAATGGCACAGTACACAACGAGACCCAAACGCAACAACGAAGAACTGCGCCGATGCCAATTGCAGAATTGTCAAATGTCAAAAAAATCCGTTTCATTCGTCCGCACTCGATGGCATACTGAATGATTAATTTATTTTATTATTATATTATTTTATATTAATATGTGCTATACAAATACAAATAAATAAATACTTACTAATTAAATGGAACATAAAATAATGTATAAAACTCAGAAACAGAGTTAAATAAAGTAAAGTAGCAGTGTATAAAATGGAACGTCCTAGAAAAAGGGTAGTTAGATGCATTCAAAATATATAATACGTTTACCCTTGACGTAGAATAAGCTTATAGAAATATGTAAAAATATTTTTTCCTGCGTTTCTTTTAACATTGTGATAAGCGTAATTAATTTACAATTCAATTAGCTGAATTTTAAGATGTATTTCACTTCTATACATTGTCAGGTGAAAAATGGGCATTGTTCTTTCTCGAGATAGTTCTGATCCCTGAGAAAATTATATATTTTATTCTTTTGCCGTGCTAAGTTCGGTCGGTGAGGTTTTGTTTATATTAAGATATAAATTTTTGTAACATTCCACGAATTTTTATTTATTATTTGTACCAAAATAAAAAATATAAAATAAAAATTAATTTTCTAATCCCAGGAAAGATATAGAAGCATGGGAAATGAAAATGATTGCAATTGGACGTACAGATTTAGTTCGCCATAAGCCTGTACGACAGCCAAATAAGACGAAGGTTGACAAGTACGAATAGGAACTCGGGTGCTCTGACGAATCCAATGACTCTGCAATGGATGAATATAGACTTAATTCTAAAAAACCTAAGGAAAATATTACGCATGTGCATAGTTTTGATAAGCAAAGGTATAATGTTACTAGTCCAAGTAATGTACAAAAACCAATACAAAGTGAAGTTCCAAACAGTATTCAAGAAGTTAACAAGAAACAGTCAGATGAGCGTCAGAGCACGGGTGAAACGAAAACTGATCAAACTCCACCAGAAGTGGAAAAAAGTAAGAACAATATGATGGATAGCATTAAACGCTTCTTTAAATTTTAGTTTATCTTTTAGTACTATTGTTTAATTTTTTTAAATGTTTTTCGTTAAATTGTAGCCTTTTAAGATCATGTGTTAATAAAATGATCTAATCATCAATTAGTATGATATTTGTATGTTTTGTTTCATTTTGCTCATTCAATTAGTCAACCATGTATGGTTCTCATATTTGTGTGACTTTTTTATTTTAATATAATTTAATTTTTAGTTCAGTTATATTTTCTTTAAGCATGTATAAGTATTCATAGGGGGGTATTTGCCATAGTTGCCACGCTTGGCGAGCGGGTTGGCAACCGCAGTTTTTTTTTATTGTTAGTTTGTTGTTATCAAGAAGATGCTGCTGCCCATCTCCTGCCTGTTTCCCTTTGTCGCCTTTTACGACACCCACGGGAGGATATGGGGTAGTGGATATTCTTGACCGCCACTACAAGGCAATCAGGTATACCTCAAACCTTGAAAACGAGACTGTACACCCAGTGCGTGTTGCCAGTGATGACATACGGAACTGAGACGTGGTCCTTCACTGCTGGCCGGATGAGGAAGCTCAAGGTCGCTCAGCGAGCTATGGAGAGGGCTATGCTCGGAGTTTCTCTGCATGATAAACTTAGGAATGAGGATATCCGCAGTAGAACCAGAGTGACCGACATAGCCCAAAGGATTAGTAAGCTGAAGTGTCAATGGGCCGGCCATATAGCTCGAAGAAACGACAACCGATGGGGAAGAAAGGTTCTCGAGTGGCAGCCTCGTACCGGTAGGCGAAGTGTAGGGCGTCCCCCCACGAGATGGAGTGACGACCTGGTAAGACATGCAGGAAGTCGATGGATTCAGGTGGCTCAGGACCGTGCTTTGTGGCATTCTTTGGGGGAGGCCTATGTTCAGCAGTGGACTTGTGAAGGGCTGTAATGATGATGATGATGATGTATAAGTATTTACATACATACGTATTTATAATATTTTTTTTAAATTACCTAATTCGTTTCATTTTTAGTTACTACCTGAACAACTTTATGATTTCATGTGTTCCTTGCCAAATATAGCAAAACGTCATTATTATGGTGCCGTATCATCTGTGTCATTTTGTCATAGAGATTTTTGTCTTAAATTTGTAACGCCAAGCCACACTGCAGCTGTATTGTGGTAGTAGCACGGATTGGGCGACTCGACTGAGGAAGGACCATGCTCTCACAAAATACCAGTGTAAAATAGCAGCTTAATGCTTCTATGTGTCGTATGGTGAGTGTAGAAAAGCTGAGATTATTTTGCCTAGTAAAGAGGCAGTCTATCTTAGTCTTCAGATGACAACGCATCTGCATTTTTATTATTTACCGATGATAGATATAGATGTCTATGGGCTACAGTATCCGCTTACCATCAAGTGGAGAGTGTACTCGTTTGTCACACAAAAATCATCTCTGAGCCAGGGTATCCCAGTATAAGCTCCTTCCATTCGACCGAAGAGCGGCCCGAATCAACGACGATCAAGTTCTTTCCGACCCAAACCTTGAGAAAAGACGTTGCATCTTTGTGCATTTTCTGCTGCACATATACCATAAGGAGTGCTCAGAGGAATTGTTCAGATTAATTCCAGCTGCTGAATTCCACCATCGTACTCTGCGACAAGTTGAAATTCCATCCGTATCATTTCGAGGGCTGGCGGTCTACTACCGTGCAATTTACGCGAAATTTTCACCCTCGCACGACTAAACTCTGGAATTTACTGTCACCATCGGTATTTTCGTACCGATATTACTTAGTGACCTTTTATGCACGCACCTGCTTATATATTCCCCTGGTGTTGTTGGATGGATGTTCATGGGCGACGGTGATCACTTGTTGTCAAGTGAGCCCCATGCTCGTTTGCCTCCTCTTCCTCTCTTTTTCTTTCTCTTTAAAAAAAGCTCGCTTTCGTTTAAATTTCTGTTCTGCTCGAATTCAGTAATTGATTTTAAGCTAATTTTGAACATAGCTCAGAATGACAGTGTAAGGAAATAAAATAGACGTGATAGATAGGTATTTTTATTTTTACCTCAATAATTGTATAATCTATATTGAATAAAAAAGTTTATATTTTCATACCTACTCCTACTACCATAGATAATATACAATGAATGGCAACTTCTACCCTACGGAGCGTTGAACACTGCACGTCGATAGATCTCCCTTTTCCCACACACGGCCAAAATATTTTATGGATTAGGAAAAAATCGAAACATACTACTAGCAAAAGCATCACAAATAATGATTATATATTTTATATCCTTAATTCCTCAAACAGATCATAAAGAAAGAACCATCTATCAGGTTTTCTAAATAAATAAAATGTATACAATGAAGTTGACTAAAGAAAACTACGTTATTAAAAGTAAAACATATATTATTATAGGTAATCAATAGATTTTGTTATACAATAGGGGTGACACAGTTCACTTGATGGTGAGTGGATGCTGTGACCTATAGACATCTACATGTGTCTCCGATTAAGAATCGAAATGCGGATGCGTTATCACCCCTGAGGACTACCACTAAGATGGAATGCCTCATTACTGCTAATAGTGGTCCTTTGTATTCCACACTCACTATATGAAAGAAAACGGCTATAAGTTGCTATTTGACGCTAGTATTCTGTGAGAGCATGGTCCTTCCCCGGTTGAGCCGATCCATTTATACTACAATCATATTTAAGCTGCAGCATCAGCGTCGATCTGCGACGTAAGACGATTCTCCCTCTACGATCTTCAAGATTCATAATACTGTCTGAGTTGGTCGCGACATCTGTACGACGGAACGTGAACCGATGTGGCTTCCTGCTATTCGGTTTAATGCCCAGCTATCCAGTAGAACCAGAATCACCGACATAACCCAGCGAGATAATGTCCTAAATAGTTACATTACCTCAATATTTTTGAAGTATTTTTGATTATAATAGACACTTATTATAAACATTATTAGAATATTAAGTGAAATCATCCGCAGCGTTAAGTGGGACTTTCTTCAAAATTCAAGAGCACCGTCACCGCTACGTACGGGCTGCCCACTACAACCGGTGCGTGCGACGGCTACCTGGCCCGTGTATCACGCACGTTTGTTTCATACAAATAAATGAACGTCGCTGCGTGATGTGGGACTGTGCGCACTGTGAAAATACACTCGACTTAAAATATCACTAGGCTCCATTTACACTGCGTAGGAACGAAAGCATCAATATCGCCTTGTCGCGCGAGAAGAAGAAAGAAGTCGTGAGAATGCTCGAGCATTCCCGCGACTGCGCCTTAAGGCTATAGAGGACGTTCAGTTATTTAGTCTAGATCTTTTATTTGACAATAATGGTTGACTGGATAGTATTTTCATATTGTTTATTTATGAGGCAAACGAAGAAAATGATGAGAAAAGGAAGAATATCTGAAAAAGGAAAAGAAATATTTGGGTTTAGGATTTATGGAAGAAACGAAAACGTCACCCTTCGCGCCACTTCCCACGGATTCCACACTGCGCCGGCGGTAGCTACGGGAATTCTCGAGAACGCGCGTGAATTCCCCTTCTGTGAATGCGACTTCTGTTTTGGCCAGGGATTGAATACCGGTACCGATTTCGGTTCTGGTTCTTCATTTAGGTTCTAATAAAGGTTCCTCTTTTCGGTACGGTTCCAGTTCCGGTATCGGTTCCGGTTTGGGTTCCGATGTACCGGTTCTAAATACCGGTTCCGAGAACCTATAATCAAATTTCTCCAAATCCGTAAATTGGTATAAAAAATTCTGTACCATTCCGTAGATTCTATTTCAAAATATCCGTTCCGTTGAGGATCGACAATTTTTGTTTTTGTCATAGAATAGATTAATTTTTTGGGAAAAATTATTTCTGTCATGGAAAATTCTTGTTGTAAGTTTAATTGTAGTATAACAACGAATCAAGCTGCACATATAAGAAAAAAGTACCCTAAAAATTGATTAAAAATTAACTGTTTTCTTTCAATTAAATATTTTTTAGGAAAAAATAAATAAAATAACTATACACAATTTAATATTTGTGGATAGTTATACTAAAAAAATACGTTACAAACTTGATTATAACGACTTATTAACATAGATTTTATTTTATGGTTTTTGTTAGTTTATTTGATATATTACGGTGTTTCAGACTCGGGTCATTTTTGTAACAATGAAAAACTTTAAGAAATTCGAAAAAAAAGATCGAGGAAAAGTGAAGACTTATTCGGCAGAATTTTTTTAAATAATTGTAAAAACAATTAGGACAGCATGGATTACAAGATTTGAGACATAAGTGATAATTCAATCATCTATAAAAAAATTATAAGCGCTTATATTAACTGCCTATTTTCCAAGAAGTGTTCTAAATTCGAAATAAACGTAATTTAATGCAAATTATCTGAGCTATTAAAATTTGAAATCGATTAACCTCACAAAAATTTGATATTTGTGAGCAAAAATGGTTTTATTTTAATACGGATAGCATAGAATTAATTATTAAATATAATTTAATACAGACAACATAGAAGAGAGAGAGAATGACATTGTCGGCAAGTTCACACTCATGATAAAAAAATTCTTGTTAACTTTATAAAAATTCCGTAGATTTTGCGACCTCAAATTCCGTAGTTCCGTAGATGATGACAAAATTCCGTAGATCTACGGAAAAATCCGTAGAGTTGGCAACGCTGCGTGATATGCAACAGAAGATCC